GCACGTTTTTCTATAAGATAACTTCTATTTGAAACTCAATATTCAGTCAAAGAGCTCCCTTGGTCGAACTCAATCAATAGATTGTCCTGCATTTGTCTACAAATGCCAATTTACACACCTGAAGAGAAAAAAACAAAAGAGCAGTAGAGTAGTCTAAGGGAAATTACCCGTGAACAAATCGTGAGACGGCAATCAAATGAAAAAGCGTAGGTGTGTAGAGCTTTTTTTCACTTTGAGCAAAAGTTATCCTTCAATTAAAAAGGTACTTTTATTGTACAGCATCATTATGAATTAATGAACAGTAGGCTTGAGAAAGATAGATGTTCAGCCTTTTATCACCCAGTCTTTGAGTTTTTGTTATTATTGACATTCTTGTCTAGAAGGTAAGTTTTGTAAAGTTCATTTCACTGACTTTCCCTTTTCTATCATAATTGTCGTTTTTTGGTCAGTGAGACTCATAATGGAAGCAAAGATTTCTGAAATTTTTAATGGTTTTATTGCGAAAAAAAAAACAAAAAAATTGTTTCTCAGTTTTTTTACTTGCACCAAACTTAGATTGCGTCTCATTAACTTGGTAAGTTTTTCGAATAGCTGAAATGATTTCAACTCGAAAGAACGTCGTCAAATTATGGACTGTTTTAGCATTTCTAGAAAATGTGTTCATCCTCTGAAAAATTATTTTTGTAGGCTAATATATTTGAGTGTATTCATTGGTAATTTTGAGATTGTTAACAGTTTATGCAAATTTTTACACCTAAAAGGTGCAAAATTAGATATGATTTAAAGATATAGAAACGTTAATAAAAATCCAATTTTCAAGAACCAAGAATCGAACGATATGGTCAATTTATTTTAAAGAGCTCCCGATTGCTTTGAAAGTAGCTCACAATTTATCAACAGCAAAAATATCAAATATATATTATAATTATGAAAAAGGAGAACGGAAAAATTGTACATCAACACAAAACTAGTAAAAAAATTCGGTTGTTTTTTGATTTTTTTCATGGAATCAAATTTAAGAAGAACAAACAGATTCATAATAATCATCCTAATCATATAAATCATAATAAGCACAATAGTAATTGTAGCGAAAACTGTTGTAATCATAATACTGTCAATGAAAATCAAAATAACAATCACAATCATTATAATCACAATAATCATAATTGTAATCATAATACTAAACAGAAAAATACTCATCATAATAATCATACGAATAATCATAATCACGGTAAAAGTAATCATAAAAATAAGAACAGTCAGGCGCGGATCTAGGAATTTCTCGAGGGGGGGGGCGGATTTTCAAAAAAAAAACGACTTTTTGGGTCGACCAAATTGATTTTCTGAGCTCTCCCAAATCACTATAAAGACCCTAAATTGAAAAATTGACCAAGTTTTCTGCGCCACGGGCAACTTTTTCAAAAAAACGGGCCAAAAAAGGCGTTTTTTGCACTTTTTGGAAAACTTTGATAAAAAAATTTGCATTTTTTTGGCAAGCGCTCTCCCCTCAAAATTTGTATATATTGGCGCAGAATGCGCTTTAAGAAAAATTTAAAGGCCAGCCATCCAAAAATGGATATCTCAAAATAGTGCAAAGGGGGCCCTTTGGGTCGGCAGGGGATCAAATTCCTGAGGGAAAAGGGATCGTCCGCCACTCCCCCCCCCCTAAATCCGCTGCTGATAACAGTCATATCCAATACTTTGATTAAGTATATTCGACAACAGTTGTCTTAAGAAACTAGTTAGAAAAAATGCCAAATTTTTTTTTCGTTTTGTGGAGAATTTTCAAAAGTACAAAAAATTATTTTCCCAAGACAATTTTAGTTAAGAAAGCTCAAAAAATCATATTGACCGACCAAAAAAGACTATCGAAAACTAGGTGTTTTAGACAACAGATTTTTTTCTGAAAAATAGTCCTGGATTTTTACTTTTTTTGCTGAGAATTTTTGTATTTTTGAAATTGTTTTATTCCCAAGATGGAGCTCTAAGAAATGAAAACTGATTTTTTGGAGTAGAACAAAGTTGCCAAGGCTTAAATAAATTTCGTGGTAATTAATCTCGTTCTTTAATCAGACTGCTCGCTCATTTTTTTGCTCAAAGTTTGAAAGTGAGAAAAAATTTTGGCAATTTTTCAGTGTCACTGTGGTTACCTGATTTAGAGTGGAATACAAAAAAAGAGACAGAAAAAAAACGAAAACACACGAAGACAAAAAATTCTCCCCAACAAATTTTTTTCATCACATCAATAGGGAAGCCGTACAAACGTTAACTATCTGCTGTAGAAAATGAAAGAAAATCCATCAATGCAGATTTCAGCTTTATATAAGCAATGATTTAGTATTGGCCACGAAGAGAAGTTGGCAGTAGTCTTGGGCGATAAGCTATTGAACTTTTATTCCCAATTTCTCAGTATTCAAATCGGCCCTACCTTGCAGTAGCTTCGTTATCTAAACATCGGCTTATAAACTGACTTTAACATTTGGCAATGTCAACAAAATTTTCAAAAGCTTAAGTACCCCTTCTTTAACATGTACGATTACAGAAAATCGTAAAAAGGCAGAGCAGATTTTGCTAATAAATTTTATATATTAATTGTAAAGTAGCACTGGGAATTAATTTTCATACGATGCTACAGAATAAGGAAAGATCAACCATGAGAGAAAATTAACCAATCGACATTTGTTTAACTAACTGTTTCGACTATTGCAAATGGGAGGAACTTTGTACTTGGGTTTGTTTTAGTTTTCATTTTTTTGTTTGCAACGCTAAATCAGGTACCACAACTAATTATCGAAAAGTGCCGAAATATATATCATATTAAAGCTTTTTCAGACGTGACTCGAACGACATTAAAAAACAATGAAAATTTTTTCTCAGTTTCGAGAGAACCCGTTGTAAATGTTTGGTCTAATTTCGAGCCTGTAAGGTGCGCGAGCAGGCTCAAAATAGCTTGTTTTTGCTTAAATTAAGCATATATAATTTTGTTTTACTCAAGCAAACATAGTTTTTGAGGCTTGTTAAGCGCCATTTTAGGAATGAAAAACATTAGAAAATGTTTGAAGTTCACTTGCGATTTACCGATATTACAAAAAAAGACGATTTTCTCAAACTTAACCATATTCAACAGTTGTAAGAAAACATGCAATGTGGAAACCAGCTTTTAAGAAAAAAGAGCTTCTACGATTTGGATTTACTTTTTCAATTCTTTTTTCTTAAAAACTGATTTCCACATTGCATGTTTCTTATAACTGTTGAATTTGTGAAGTTCGAGTAAAATGAAATCTTTTTTGTATTTCTTAAGACTTTGGTCAGGACATTCTATGCTTCGTGCACAGTAATCGGCAAGTTGTTTAACGTTTGTTCTTATTGATTGATTGAGATTAGAAAAAAAATAACCCCTAGCCAAATCAACATTGACTAGGTTCATCAGTATACAATATCTTTATAACGTTTTCTTTAAATTAAACAATTTTTTTTTAATACTCCGACCATTGAAAATGCGAAAGATCTTTGTATTCGATGCGTTTTGATTTTTTTTCTTGTTGTTTTCCACACAAATTCAGGTACCACGAATAATCATTGGACTGGTTTGAGTGATTAATTGAAAAACTTTCAGTCGCGATTCGAACGACTTTACGCAATTTCCAAAAAAAAATTCCGTAGAGATATTTTAGGGAATTTATTCAGCGTTTTTTAACTTTTTAAGCATTTTTATTTCAACTGAGGCGTCTGCTATATAAGGCTACTATGAAATTGTTAGATTTTGCTAATATCGGTCAGAGAAACTTCAGCTCAAAAAAATTGTTATCATAGTTTATTAGTCTGTCTGATTTTTTTTGAGCGACAAAAAATCAGCAGGTAAGAACCGTTACAAAATAAATTACGCTTTTTTGAGAAAAGCAATGAACTAGCTATGGTTTTTGCTAGATGAATGTCAATGCTTGAAATTGATATTCTAAAAAGTACAATTTCGATACTCTGACCATTTCGTATGAGTTCTTGATGAATGCATTTTAATTTTTTATAACTTGGTTGACCCACTTGGTTGCCATGAAAAGGTTTCAACAACGGTCAGTCGCAATTTGAGAATCTTTCGTTAAAAATGGGGTAAAACGCATAGCGTATAGTGGTGCGAAAAGGGACCTAAATCCGCAACTATGGAGTTGTGGTACGTTTTTCTATTATTGTCATTAATGCTATATTGTTTTATCTGCAGGAAAGAGAATTTTTAAATCACAGTCGTTTTTGCGGGAAAACATATCATTTTTGCAAAAAAAAGAATTTGCCATTTACAGGGGTGGGCGGAGCAGAAGGTGGATTGGGGCTGGGAGGGTTAAAAACTGTGACTTTATGCTTCTGAAAACCTTTACTAATAGAGCTTGTAAGTAGTAAAAATTATTGACCTAGCTGTATTCAAGAGTGACCCAAACTTATCCGTGTTTCACTGATCGGTGTAAGCTCAGGGGCGGATTTAGGGGGGGACGCCTTCCTTCCTCAGTGATTCGACCACCTCCCGACCCAAAGGGTCCCCCTTTGCACTATTTTGAGATATCCATTTTTGGCTGACTGATCCTGAAAATTTTTTAAAGGCGCCGTTGGCGCCAATATATACTAACTTTGAGGGCGAGCACGCGCCGAAAAAACGCAACTTTTTTGGTCAAAATTTTCCGAAAAGTGCCTAAAAACGCCTGTTTTGGCTTGATTTTTTCAACCACTGTTTATAAAGCTAAAAAATTTTTGCTTGGTAGTTTTTTCATGCTTGAATTGCGACTAGAAAAAAAGCTAAGAATTTTTTTTTTCTTGGGAGTTTTTCAGCTTGAAAGGGCAACTGAAAGGGTTTCAACTGCTTTATCAAATCGACCCATTGCGGTAGTTGGATTTGCGTCAATAAATAAGCCCGAAACCAAAGTTTTTTCACACACTATGTGGTCGTAACAGTTATAATAATGAATTACAATGAAATATCGCCAATAACTCTATTGAAATTTGAATTTTTTCAGCCCTCTATTTTCTGCACCGGAGGAAGGCGAAGCCCAACATGTCGGGTACATGTGGGTTCGGTGGGTCAGGGACAGGTGCTGGGGGAAAAGGAGGGAGGAAGAAAGACCAGAAGTACGTGTTCAATGTGGGGGGAATACGACACGAGACATACAGAAACACTCTCTACAGGTCACCGCTCTTTTTCTTTTATCTCTTAAGACAGAAACAATTTAAGTAATGAGCATACGTTTTTTGTAGAGAAAACTTTTCTGAAAAAAATTGCTAAAAAACGGCTACGAGATCCGCCTCTCGATTATTTTTTATTTACTTATTTTTTCTACTAAAAAAAATTAAACTGATTATAATTTTGAAACATAAAATAGGAAAATAATTACTCAAAGTTTCAGTCCTTCAAATGAAAAAATTGAATCTGCAAAAAAGATGCAGAATGCTCTCTTTTCTGCCATTACCGGAAACAATTAAAAAATTTGAAAAATATCGTGGAAAACGTTTTCTCAGTTGACGATAACAAATTTAAATACAGGAGTTTTTTAATTGGGTCAATGAGTAAATAATGCTTTATGGGAAAAGAGCGTCTTCGTTGACTAATGTTGTAATAACAGTGTGCCGAATACACGACTCTACTCGTTGGCTAAGAAAAACCCGAGAGACGCGGAGGAGTATGACTCAGACAGTCGGGAATTCTTCTTTGACAGACACCCGGGGGCATTTGAACAGATAATCAATTTCTACAGAACAGGTATAATTAATTGCACAGAATACCTGACCAGCATTGAAAAAAGTCATTACGAGGACAAACTGTGTATTTTGCCATTTTTAAGCAGATTCCGACAACAAGGACGCTCTCTTTGATCTTCCTTCGTACTTTTGTATTCTTTTTGATCGTTCCGACAAAAAGTTAACATAATTAAAGTTTTGTCTCTGGGTTCCAGAAACCTACAAACAATAAACTGTGCGCCTACCCAGTGCAGAGTTTGCCCTCGTAATGATTGTACCACTGTCATTTAAGGTGTCAGAACTAACATTTTGCTGAAAATTTTGATAAAACTTGGTAAAAAACTCAATTCTGTGTTTTTCACTCAAACCCCTTGTACAGAACAAAACTATTTACTTTGCATCAAATGAGGCCAAATTCAAATCAAGTTATGTGCTCAATTTAATTCGCCACATTTGCACTGTTTATAAAAAATATTGCTCAAAATTGCAGTTTTTAATATCAGTATTTTACAAAAACTAATTACCCGTAAATTATTCGCCCATATTTGAGTGCAAGACAATGCTATTTTTCGGATTGTTGGAAAGACTTTATCACAAAAGGTTGATTAAAAAATCAAAAACCTTCCCAAGCAATAATTTTCTATCACTTTCTTGAGGAAGTAACGATTTTTATATTGACAAGTTTTGCTTATTTTTTCTGAATGGGAATTTAGTTATCAAAAGAATCGCAATTTTACAGCTATTTTGAAACGACAACATGTGGTGTTGTGTATATTAAGAAGAGTACTGAAGAATATCATACAAAACTAACACCAAGATCAATTGTACGCAACACACATTAACTCATTAAACCGCCCGCATCCAGTTTCAAAAGTTAAAATTCGATTTTATTATGATTTTTACACCAGTCTTGCTGAAACTGAAAAAAAATTAGAAAAAACAGTTAACAATTGATTATTATCTTTCTGTTTCAAAACAAATTGTCTATTTTTAAACATTTTAAACAGTTATAATCGATTCCATAATGTTCCATTTATTTTCGATTCAATTATACTCGATTATAATCAAATATTTTTCTAAACCAAAATACATTTTTTTCTGCAAAAAAACCTTTTTGATTGGTTATTATCAAAAATATTCCCGTTTATTTGACGAATTATTCTTCAAACTTGCATCTAAATTGCTTCTATTTTATGATTTTTATAGATATTAGCTTAAGTGAAAATGGGAAATCGTTTTCGACGCTTTCAAAACAATATAAATTTTTAAAGCTTTTTTTTTCTTTTTTTCTCGATCAGAGTTAATTCGTGATGCACGTTTCCTTTTTTTTTGTAATCACCAAAAATTCAGTACATTGGTTCAGTTTCATGATTTATTTGAAAAGTTTTTTTTCACCTACTGCGGGAACCTTTCAACTAAATTAAATTGATGGGATCTCTAAAAAGTTTTGATTTCCTCTAAAAGATTGTGTTCAGATGAACCAAACTGTGACAAAACATCTCTATGTTGAAAATTTTGTTATTGACAGACGAATAATAATCCATCGGATAAAATAAAATTATTTAAAAATATTAAAATATTTAAAATTAAATAAGCCGATATAAAATAAACGGAAATCAATTAAGCCAAAGAAAAGCAACTAACAAAAACTGGGCATTATAAAAAATCTTCTAAAACTCAATTACTCGCGCCACTACGAAAGTTAGAAATGTCAAAAACCTAAACTTGTAGAAAAGGCTGAACTTCAGGAAATGCTCCTTCTGTCAAAACTAAGATGACCAAAACTAATCAGACACGCATGATAGTCCTGAAATTAGATTTCGAGCCAGAAATTTTTCAATTTGTAAAAAAAATGCAGATCCAAATTGACTAGAAATCCAGGCTTTTGTCGCCCCAGGCATTATTCGTCTGAGGCTTGATTTTAGATCTAAAAACAATGAGCTATCATGTTGCCCAAAATAATTAGATATTGCCCAAAATCTTAGATATACATACATCGGTGGCCAGTCAATCAGCAGAATGGTCTAAGAACAGAATGGGTTCAAGAGTACAAAAAAAAACAGAAAAGTATGAACTTTTATAAGCTAGTCGGTAAATTAATTATCAGAAATGTCAATAATACCAAAGCAACCAACATTTTATGCATAGTTTGACTAATTTAATCAAGAATTAAACGGTAAATTTAATAAAAAAAACTCAATGATATTAGTCAATTGATGCATAATTTATTCGTTTTCTTGGTATTTTTTGACGATTCTAATAATTGTTTTATCAATTAGCCCGTATAAACCAATATCAGTCAATATTTTTCTGTTTTTCTGCTCTTGGACCCATTCTGCATTTGGACCATTCTGCTTTTTTGCTCCACCTCCACATACATCCAACAATGGTGCCCAAAACTAGGTTGTTTTTCATTTTTTGCCATTTCACTTTTTGTACACAGGTAAATTACACTGTCCGATGGACATCTGTGGTCCCATGTTCGAAGAAGAGTTACGTTACTGGGGAATAGAGGAAAAGCTAATTGAGCCATGCTGCTGGATGAACTACATCAAACACAGGGACGCCGAGGCCTCCATGAACCTGTTCGAAGGCAGTGAGTACTTAACTGACCAGCTAGACGAAACGCTCACTAAGACTAATTGTTTGGTTTTTTTGCAGCAATTCATATTTTCGGAAACTTGAATTGATCGTTTAGGTTTTTGTGAACAGGGTATTTTGAGAAAGCACAAATCATCAAGTTTGATTTTCTCTGCAACAAGCTGGATTTTTGAAATTCGAGACATTCTAAATTAATTTGAAATCTGCGTTTTTAAACAGCGTTTTTCAGGATTCCAAACCAAAAGTAGCAAAAACAAGCATTGAGATTAAGTGAATGTTTTTAAGCTTATAACAGCAAAGGAAGTCTGGCGCCAGAAAATTTAGTCATAAAGACCGGTTCCAGTTGACAACATAATATGATAGTTAATTGTGATAGCCCGGGTCGAGGTCCGCGACTAATTTTTCGGACTTTTTCGGTCGCGGAAATGTTAATATCGCGACCGAAAATCCTTAGTCTGGACAGGGTTTTAAGTCGCAGACAAACTCTGGAAATATACCTATCAGAAAAATACCGCTCAGAAAATGTGAAACAGAAAGTGCACCTCACACACAATAAGCTGTAGGGTCATCAGAAACATAGCATGCTAAAAAGATAATGTATGTTTGTGTTGTTTACTTTTCTTCAAGCCAACTTTGTTGATTAAAATCATTGCTCGAAATTAATCGACTAATTGATACCAATGTCCTTTAGCACAAAGACTCCAGTCGAAAAAAGGGTGGAATCCCTCATGCGCGAAGGACCGAATGCGCGAAAATAAAAATCAGCCAATCAGATTTCAGTAGTCTAAAATTTGGAAAGAAAGTAAACATTTCCAACGACTGCAGTATTGATATTGGCCGAATATAAAAGCGACAGAAATATGCAAATTTTTCAAAATGTCATTAACCGCCGGAAAATTGGGACAAATTTAACATTTCAAGGTTTTCGTAATGAAAGAAGCAAAACATTGCTTCATTTAATTCATTTTAACTGAATGGCAATAATTTCTTTTTTAAAATTGAATTTCGGCTAATTTTGTCGTCGGTCCTTGGCCCACAAGTTTTTTCGCCCATTCGGTCTTTCGCGCTTGAGAATAGGCCCCAAAAAAGTAAAGAGTCGATGAAACTTTGTAAAACGGCCAAATTGCTGGAAAAAAGTCATGCGTGAGTAGTAGATGTTGAGGCTAAAGTGGGGGGGGGGGGCATGGCAGACCCTATGTATTATGATACGCTATAGACTTCGGGTCCGCCATGCAATGTATTAAGATTGGGTATAGAGTGTACAATGTATTAAGATAGGGAATACCGATGGTAAGGTTTTATGGTTTGTGTGATGGTAAGATAATGGTAAGAAAATCGTAATTTTTTTTAGTTTATGTGTGGAAATGTCTAGTTTTTTCGCAAAAATGTTGGCGCGTGTTAACTAATTTGTGAATATCGAAGGTTAATTACGTGTAGGTTGTGTAATGAAGGACTTTTGATTAGATTTTTGATACATGGTAAGTCAATGGTAAGAGTTTTGGGGTAAATTTTTATGAAAAAATTTTCCAAAAAAAACTTCAAAAAACGATAAGGTTAGCTATTATTTGACCTAATTTATTAAATAATCTTAATTTCTATCTAATTGAAACAATGCTGAAACCTACTGAAACTTCGAAAAAATTCAAATTTTTTGAGAAAAAATTGCAAAAATTTCAAGTATTTGGAAAAAATTGCAAAAATTTCAAGTATTTGGAAAAAATTGCAAAATTTCAAGTATTTGGAAAAAATTTCAAGTATTTGGAAAATATTGCAGAAATCTCATAATTTTGGCTAATGTATTGTTGCTTTTGATCTAATTTTAATCATACTTTTACGTATAGATTTTAAAAATAAGCTAAGACTGTATGTGAATTGGCATTATGTTGAGAAAATGATACAAAATTTTGAATAAAAAAATGACTTTTTCAACAATATTTTCTCAAAATATTGAAATACGATGAAGTTTAACTTAATTTGAGCTAAATATTTGGTTATACAATGCTCTAAACACTGAAAAGAAGGTTCATAGTAGCAGAATCAATATTGAAACTTCCGGAAAACAGTGAAATTAGTCGTAATTTTCGAGAAGGTAAAATAAAAATAAATCAAATTTACGTGAAATTTTCCATTTCGAACCTTTACTTTGGTTTCTAACTGTTTTTTTTGTCCAGTTCAGGGATTAATTATAGGAATCTCAATTCAAATGAACATTAAGGGTAATATCCTATGAAATTTCTAAATCAAACACCATGATTCAACTCCTCCTAATTTTTTTTCTCATTGAATTACCCAAATTTGTACAAAAATTACAACTTGTGGCAAATTTTTCATGTTAAAAATTAGAAATTTCTGATTATTGATAAAAAAAAGAACAGTTTATTGCTAAAATTGTTTAAAATGGGATAAATGTTTCTGAAAAATTTATTCGATATTGGCTCAAATTCAACAAAAACTTCTTCATAACTGATGATTATCTCTCTGTTGCTTCTGCAACATAACTTTCAAGATTTTCCGTAGAGTTATTCCATGTTTTAAAGTTATTCTTGCTTTCTGTTTAAAACATGTTTTCGCTATTGAACTCACTTTACTAGAAAATTTAGTCCAAACTGGAGAATTTACGAGGAAAATAGTATCAATTGAACGAACAATTTGCTAGCAGAGATGAAATTAGAACTGATACCGTATGATTATTACAATAAAAATGTTAATATCTTCCTCAAAGTTCCCCTGTTCAGTTGCTATTGTAAACTGTTTAAGCAAAAACACACATTTTGAGATCATTAACTATCACTTTTCTTGCAAAATATTTATTAACTCGCTTTTTTTCTTAATTTATGACGGAAATTTTCTCAAAAATATCCAAGTGAGAAAGAATTGGTGCTAGTTAAAGCATTCAAAAAAATATGTACACAATGAGAATATAAAGGTGTTTTTTTACGATCTAAGAACAAATTAGGAGCAGCTCTATTAGTTATAATCTGAAAATCTCCGGAAATACGCAAGAGAACCTAGTTCTTAACATCTACAATATAAAAAACTTCTGAAAGAGCGAATCTTGATTTAGCAAAGCAAATCAAGGTGCAAACTGGAACAATTATGTAATTTTCCGATTTTTATTAAGAAAAAATACTCTATGTAGTAAAAATGTAGTAATGTATTGTATATAGTGTTGTATATTCTATGTAGTATTGTGTAGCAAAGAAAAGTAGATCTTGAAAGCAAGTTTTCGATTTATGCTTTATGTATCTTCTTTCAGAAGATGTCGAATTGGTTTTGCTTTTCAAAAATTATCCTCAAAACATTTGATCTTTCATATAAAGTACCAAATATATCAAATGATAACAATTTTTTCTAATGAATTACGGATAAATATAAGACTTTGAGATTTTTTATGTCGGATTTTTTCTCAAGATATACTTTATAAGCTAAATTTTAGTACAAGTATCTCAAATCTCTTAAGGATTAAATTGGGTTTCTATCTCATTTTAGCATTTTCTCAGTTTCTGCTTCATCTACTATCTACCAAATGAATCCAATTTGAGCAAATTTTTACTTGAAAATTGAATTTTAGATGAAAAATGTATCGTTTCAACGAACGATCAATAATCCGAAGCTGAATTAATACCATAAATCCTTTACTAAAAAGCTTTAAAGGATTTTCTCAAGCTCATAACTGTATAATGCTGTTTTAAATCTGAATTTCTGTTTTAGACTAAATTTTTAGTTGGAATGATGTATACCATTATCTTGAAACTTTCAAAGTTTAGCAAAATATACATTTTTTCCAGGTCATTTATCAATTTCTTTTCTGAAATCATCAAAAATCAATAGAAAAACGTAATTCCTAATAAGTCAAACCACATTATCTGCTTAAAAAGCTCTGCTCTATGAACACTTTTACAAGCACTAAACAGGGAAAACTTTAAAATAGTGACTAGAAAAAACCTTTCAATTAGTTGATGTTTTCCAAATATCCAAAATTTACAATTTTTAGGCGAATATTTAAAAACTCATTAGCATATTTTATGCACATTACTACAAATTTATCACAACAAAGTCTCCGCAAGCTTGCAACCAAGGGAGTTTTTACTGTTGATTAAAAGTTTTCGGATCGAGCTCCATGGAAAGCTTCACGACGATTTGAACTCGATTTTTGCTGTCTTTAACATCAATCAAAACCTTTGAATAAAAAAAAACAAATGACAGTTCAAGTAATGTAATGAAAACACTGTATAATTACTGACTAGATTTGTTACAATTGCTGAGACTTTTCAGATTCAGTAAAAACTATTAATCATAGTAATTTCTAAGTTTTTTAAATTTTTTTTTTAAATTTTACCTTTTCCTGAAGTGTGTTTGGAGTCTGCTGAGCACATAATTTAATATTATGCTGAGAATGCTTCTTCTTGAAATGATTAGCGAGTTCCTCGCTGCTATAAGTATAAAAATTACAGTTAGAACACTTCAAAACACCACATGTTCTACGATGTCTTGATGCATCTTTGTGAGTGTATTCCCTGCCACATTCAAGACATGCAACTCTTTCGTTTCTTTTGAGTGAAGGCATCTCAATAGTAAGGAAAAATTAAATGGGAGATTTAAAATGTACCAAATTTTTAGATAAGGTGAGTTGAATAGCCTCCAAAAATGAATAAAAGTAAATAAAAACAGCAAGCTTATTAACCAATTGTTTTTAACGAAAAAGAAAATCAGAATGGATATGCTATTTAGCCTAGCTGAAATAAAAATCATCCAATCTAAACATGGAATTTTTAAAAGTATCAACAAATCAGAATCGAGCATTAATTATAAGGAAACTTTATCTTTTCTTATATCAACCAATCAGAATTGAGCTTCAATAGTCATGTAATTTTCAACAAGTTCAAGTCAACCTATCAGAATTGAGCTTCAAAAGTCATGAAATTTAATGTCAACCAATCAGAGTTGAGTTCTTCTTCTCATGAATTTTTCAATAATTTCTTTAAAAATTGTAGA